TCTCTCTCTCTCTCTCTCTCTCTCTCTCTCTCTCTCTCTCTCTCCTCTCTCACTCTCTCTTTAAAAAAAAAAAAAGAATACATGTCAAAATAAATATGGGCGAGGATGTGGGAGGGGAAGGTACACTTATTTATACATTGCTAGTGGGAATGAAAATTGGTCCAACCACTCTGGAAAGCAGTATGGAGATTCCTCACAAAACTTGGAATGGAACCACCATTTTACCCAGTTATCCCACTCCTCAGTATATAATCAAAAGACTTAAAGTCAGCATACTACAGTGATGCAGCCTCATCCATGTTTATAGCAGCTCAATTCACAATAGCTAAGCTATGGAACCAATACACATTCCATTCAAGAGATGAATGGATAAAGAAAATGAGGTATATATACATAGTGAAATATTACTCAGCCATAAAGAAGGATGACATTACAGCATTTGCTGATAAATGGATGGAACTGGAGACCATCATGATAAGTGAAATAAACAATCCCCAAAAAGCAAAAGTTGAATGTTCTCTCTGATATGTGCATCCTATAACACACAATTAGGTGGGAAGAGGGAAGAACAGAAGTTCACTGAATTAGACAAAGGGAAAGGAAGAAAGGGAGGATGAGAGTAGGAAAGAAGGGAGAATGAGTCAGACATAACTGTTCCTATAACTATGTCCATATATAAACACATGACCAGTGTAACTCCACATCATGTACAAACACAAAAATGGGGTCCTAATTAGAACAAATGATATGCATGGATCTATATCTACTGTCACTTATATCTAAAAAGAACAAATAAAAAAAGAAAAAATAAATAAATAAAACGCAACATAATGTTGTGAATCCAATGAAATTTTGTTTAATATTTATTTAATATTCTTCATGTATTTTTTAAAACACTGAAAACTGAGATTAAAAATAGGAAGGGCAGCAAGCAATTTTACATCTCGGATATAGATGATCCCTGTGGCTGTAAGACCCTGGTGTCAGTAGTCACTTGGTTACACAAGTACACCTTTCTAGTTGTATGTCTTATTTCAGGGGTTCCATTACCTTCTCCAACACCTTATTAGACCCACCACTGCCATGCACCACATTAAAACAAATCCCTGTAATGCGGCCCTCGAATGGGTATATGCAAATAACATCAGCTGAGAAAGATAAAGATTAATACTTATTCA